CTGGTCTAGCATCTATGCTAACAGGGCTAGCATCCATGCTAACAGGGCTAGCATCCATGCTAACAGGGTTAGCATCCATGCTAACTAAGTTAGCATCCATGCTAACAGGGTTAGCATCCATGCTAACAGGGTTAGCATCCATTCTAACAGTGCTAGCATCCATGCTAACAGGGCTAGCATCTATGCTAACAGGGCTAGCATCCATGCTAACAGTGTAAGCATCCATGCTAGCAGGGCTAGCATCCATGCTAACAGGTTTAGCAAACAGGGCTAGTATCTATGCTAACAGGGTTAGCATCCATTTTAACAGGGCTAGCATCCATGCTAACAGTGCTAGCATCCATGCTAACAGGGTTAGCATCCATGCTTACAGGGTTAGCATCCATGCTAACAGGGTTAGCATCCATGCTAACATGGTTAGCATTTATGCTATGCTAACAGGGCTAGCATCCACGCTAACAGGGCTAGCATCCATGCTAACATGGTTAGCATTTATGCTAACAGGGCTAGCATCCATGCTAACATGGTTAGCATCTACGCTAACAGGGCTAGCATCTATGCTAGCAGGGCTAACGCTTTTAATCACTACATTTTTTTTTTTAAGTCACAAGTATAGACAGTCATGATGACTTCCAGACCAGACTGATCCACGTTTCATGCAGCGTACCATTAATCCCACCCACTCCCATCAGATTGGGCAAAATAAATTGCTTAATCCAATGCAAAACAAAACTGAACAAGATTGACACTTGGCACAACTCAAAGAGTAGGTTGTGAACCGGAACATGGAACCCATGTACACCTTAGACAAACTTATGTAACATTCAAGGACCGTAGTACATACGACAACAGCCTGTCTTAGTTTTCTTGAACTAGATTTTCTTGACTGAATATGAATAATTTTTTTAAATGATACATTTTTAAATGAAAGAGTTTTTATTTCATATTTCTTCCACTTTTATCACTTAGACATTGTTTTTTAAAACTCAAATGATATCACTATGAACCCAGTCCAATACACTAGTTTGTACTACTGTATATAGCACAGTTCAAACTGGTCTACACATATTTTTCTGGATTCAGTGAAGAAAACGTGAAAACTCTAAGCTTTACTGCAACACGTTTCTACTACAGGAAACTATGGTAACTCTACTAGGACAAAAAGAACTGAGTAGCAAAGACTGACCCTCTGAAAACGGCAGCACAGATTAACACGGTTAAACCGTTGAGGCAGGACGCTGCTGATTTCCTTTAACGTGTCTGTGTGTCTTTCTGTAGGAGTGTACAGAGAGCTGTGTCTGCAGGTCATCCAACACAAGCACGACTGCGAAATCCAAGGAGCGAGGCAGCACCTGGAGGTGACGCACTGCAACCTGCACTCAACTCTAGTTTTTATTTGATTTGCATCAAACCCACGATGAGGACCAGATAGAATGTCTTCCAACTCTGAGGACAAAAACAAAGTTTTAATCTGAAATGACATAGAATGAAATAATTTATGCTTTTATGGCGTTAAATGTCTAAAGAATAGTTCAGATTCTTTTAAACTACCGGTAGCGTTTTGTTGGAAAAGTTGTCAACAAATATGTTATTGGTTGTAGAAAGCTTTTCGACTGGCCTCAGATTAGAGAAATATACTGAACAAAAATATAAACACTTTTTTGTTTTTGCTCCCATTTTTCATGAGCTGAAGATTTTAGACTTTTCTTTGTACACAATAAACCTTTTTCTCTCAAATATTGTTCACAGATTCATGTAAATCTGTTAGTGCACACTTCTTTGTCGAGATAATCCATCCACCTCCAGGTGTGGCGTACCAAGATGCTGATTAAACGGCATGATTACTGCACAGGTGGTCCTTAGGCTGCCCACAATAAGAGGCCACTCTAAAGTGTGCAGTTATCTCACAGCACACGGACACACATGTTGCAGGCTTTGTGGGAGCAGCAGTTAACATGCTGACTGCAGGAACTTCCAGTGTTCCACAGCCTGGTCAGGACTGGAGTTGTTCTAAGGCGTCAGCTATCATCTCGTCAGTTCCGTCAGAACTAACCTGTGGTTGTTCAAAGAGCGGCCTCTTAATGCAACACGTTCAATCAAATTGTGCTGAGAATGATCAAAACGTTCTGGTTTGTGTGTGGCAGAGTGAGCGCTCGCTGCTGTTTGACGTCATGAAGGCGGAGCTGCTGGAAAAGATCAGGCGTCTGGAGGAGGACAGACAGAACGTCGACCTGACCTCAGGTAAACGTTTGTCACAGACGATCGTTTCGGATGCTGCTGTTAGATGAACGCTGTCGCAGCTAAACTTTAAAGACGTGACTTTAGCTCCTGATTTAGCTGCTGTTTGTAGAAAACCTCTCTGTGATTCAACGTCTGAACGTAAACTGCATTTTCTGCAAAAATAAAACAGCTGAAACTGAGCTGGTAAAGCTCAAAGTAACAAAAAGCTAGCTAAAGCTAAAAGTAGCCAAAAGTTAGCTAAATCTAAAAGTAGTAAAATGCTAGTTAGAAGGCAAAAGGAGTGAAAGACTGGCTAAAGAAAAAGCAAAATACTAGCTAAAAGGGAAAGCTTTAAACTAAAAATTAAAAAAAGGCTAGCTGTAAATTAAAAGTAACTGAAGGCTGGCTATAAACTCAAAGTAGCAAAAGCCTAACTAAAGTTAAAAGTAGCAATATTCTAGCTAAAACTTAACAAAATTCTAGCTAAAGCTAAAATAACAAAAAGCTAGCCAAAGCTAAAAGTAACAAAAGGCTAGCCAAAGCTAAAAGTAACAAAAGGATAGCCAAAGCTAAAAGTAACAAAAGGCTAGCCAAAGCCAAAAGTAACAAAAGGCTAGCCAAAGCCAAAAGTAACAAAAGGCTAGCCAAAGCTAAAACTAGCAAAAGACTAGCTAGAAAGCTAAAAGTAACAGAACAGCAGCAAAAATCTTAAGTAATGAACACAAATTGAGGCGCATGCCAAAAATTCTAAAAAATTACGTTTTAATGGATGTAATGTAAATCAGTGTTTTGCTTCATATATATATTTTTATTTAGTTAAAATTTTAACTTATTTAGAAAAGCTACAAAATAAAGTCAACGCACCAGACTTATGAATGAGCCGAACGTTTTGATACATGAATGAATAAAGTATGCAGGAGTAGTTTGATTGCAAAACAAAGTACAGAAAAATAAAAATGGTGTGAATCCTGACTCAGCATTTACAGTCAGTGAATCCTGACTCAGCATTTACAGTCGGTGAATCCTGACTCAGCATTTACAGTCAGTGAATCCTGATTCAGCATTTAGTCAGTGAATCCTGACTCAGCATTTACAGTCAGTGAATCTTGACTCAGCATTTACAGTCAGCGAATCCTGACTCAGCATTTACAGTCAGCGAATCCTGACTCAGCATTTACAGTCAGTGAATTCTTACTCAGCATTTACAGTCAGTGAATCCTGACTCAGCATTTACAGTCAGTGAATCCTGACTCAGCATTTACTGTCAGTGAATCCTGACTCAGCATTTAGTCAGAACAACAAACATATTTTAGAGGGAAACTGACACTTTGTACAAACTGTGTTTCTCAGCAGTCCACACAGAAACAACATGAAAATCAAACTTTTAGCAGTAAAAATTCTTCATCCGTGGAACTTTTGTACGAAAGGTTAAGTCGGCCTTTTTTTTTTCCTCCTTCCAGAGTGGAGCGACGAGCTGAGAAGCAAGAAGTGTAAAAGGAAGAACCTGCTGGGACGTTCAGACAGAAAGGTCGCTCTGGTTTCAGGTAATAAAAAGTGATGAAGTCACATCCTGTTCGTTTCCCACGCTCAGATAAATAACGAGCGCCGTCTCTCAGGGCCTTTCATCGTCTACATGCTGAGAGACATCGACATCCTTGAAGACTGGGCTGCCATCAAGAAGGTACCCAACCAAACCACCGGCGTTGATCCCTTCTGGTGAAAGTTATCGACAGTTTCCCTGTTTTTCAGGCGAAAGCAGCTCTGTCCCCACTGAAAAAGAAGGTAGAAAAGTCTCATGTACCAGTTTGACCACAGCGACGAGAAGAGCGTCCGAGCAGCGACTCCCACATTCCCAGTTTCTTCCACGACACGTCAGCTTTTGTGTCTTTGACTGAAGCCCCGCCGATCGTCGAAGTCGTTTTTTTTTATTTCAGCGCCTTTGACCCCGCCCTGCTGCCACTGTTTGTTACTATTTAAAACTCGTTGTTAATGATGTGACGATGTATTTATAGAATGATTTATAATGCCGATTAAAACTTTAATCTTTTACGACACGAGTCTTTGAGTCTTTTACGCATCGGTGACTAAAATCCTTCAGTACAGGTTGGGATTAAATCATCCGACAGACGGTTTTCTTCTGACGAAGCTCTATATATGGGGGAAAAAAGAGTTAACGTCTTACCTGCCGTTGATAGCTCTTCAAATGACGTCGATTTGGAGAATTATCACTCAAACGTTAAGAACATTTGTGTTTGGTTGATTCTTTTTTTGTTGTAACAACTTTTTTTCATATGGTTGGAAATCCTGTTAATTTCCCCTTAAATGGCGCCGCATTTAAGAAAACGAGTCCGTGTGCTGCGCCTACGAAAAACGAACCAAATCTCTGCCAAACAGCTTCTGCTCCCAACTTGTTTTGAGCATCTGCTGCCTCAAATGTTTGCAATCAATCAATCAATCGTCTGATTGGTGCCCAGCTGTCAGCAGCCGGTGGTAGTCCCACATCTCTGGGACTGAACTCTGTCCTTGTGGAGAGGGTGGACTGTAGCCCGCAGTTCTGAACTCAACCCCATTGAACACCTGCGTTATCAGACTGTTCGTTCCAGAGTGACCAACACCAGTTGGTGTGGCTGTATATGGTTCTTCCACATCCATCCATCATCTTTACCCGCTCCTTTCATTTTGAGTCACAGGGGTCACTATGCGAGAGGCAGGGGACACCCTGGACAGGTCTCCAGTCCATCACAGGGACAGCTAGACAACCAATTTAGATGCACGATATTATCGGCATGGTATCTGCCGATATCAGCGGTAAATTTAAATGTCGGCCATTCCATCAAAATAACTCACCGAAATAAAATACGCCGTTTTATATGACAAGCCAGTGACAAGGACGTTTAAACACCTTAAGGTGTTTATATCGAACATAAGACTGATGTGCAACATAAACATTTTTACGTTTTAGGTTAGTTTTTCAATAAACCAAATTTTACAGTTGCCTTCTGAACAGAATGAGTATTTTTAATGTCTTTGTGGTGAAACGACTGAATTTTGACACAGACGAGCGAATCATCGTTCATATCTTTTTATTCCCATTTTATTTTCTCAGCTCCCACATAAACCACAACCATCAAGTTTTACTTCTTCAAACTTATGAAAGGATAAAAGGGATCAAAATGTTACAGAAAGATGTTTCATCATAAAAAAAATAAAGTTTTATCTTTTGTTTCGAATTTGTTTACAAAAAAATATTTGAAAGCTGAATCCTTTGCTAATTTTCCACTCACTCCCTCTTTTTGTTTTGGGTGGTCCTCAGTTTGTCGAACCCTCCTGCTGCCCTCAGGTCAAAATGCCCGTCGTGGGTCGTTTTGACCTGAGGGCAGCAGGAGGGTTCAATGGGATGCTGGATCCCTTCATGCCACCAGTATCCCCACTCGTCATCCTCTCACAGCTGCTTGCTGAGTTTACGCGCCTGCCTCTCTTTGGCCTCGAAGGCTGCTTTGGTGTCCAGCAGCTCGTCCAGGAGCCGACGGATCCGGGCCATGTCCAGCTGAGCGGTCTCGCAGCTCTCTCTCAGGGCGGACGACTCCACCCTCAGCTGGGTGGTGGTCAGGGAGAGCTGCTGGCTGCGCTCGTGGCACTGCCTCTGCATCCTCTTAGCATCGTTCAGGAGGGACTCCGCACTCACCACCACCGAGTCCCACTGGGAACTGGATATGTCCTGGACAGAAATGGAAGTAAAATGTAAATGTTTCTTGGTTTAGTCAAAGATTTTGACACTTGTCAATCATCATATCAAGCTATAATACTGCAGCTTTAAATGAGTGACTTATAAATGGCTTTGTTTCAAAATAAACACAAGTTTGTCAACGTAAATAGATGCACATCTGATGTGGGGTGCTGCAGGGATCCATATCGGGACCACATATGCTTTATAATAGCGCCTTTAAATCCGAGTCCTCGGTTGGAAATTGATGGACTGCCCTCTCTGGGTTGGGAGTGAGGTGCTGTCCACGAGTGAGGGAAGAACGGATGAGATCAGCATGTAGATCGTGCAGCCTTCGCAGTATTGTGGATGCTGTGCCGGTCCACTGCAGTGAAGATGGAGCTGAGCTGTGGGGCGAAGCTCTCTTTACGTCTACGTCACGTCAACTATGGTCACAAACTTTGGGTGGTGACCAAGAATGAGATCAGGACTGCAAGCTGACTATGAGTTTTCTCCGCAGGGTCGCTGGTTTGATTCAGACTGACTGGACTTTTAAACAGCGAGTGGCTCCACGTGAGCTGAGCTCACATGCAAATCAATCTACTGTACCGCCACTCCTTCCTGAGGGTCTTCAGAGTCTTTGTTGGCATGAGAGATGTTTTGATGCAAATTAGGAGTGTCCCACTGTTTTTTTTCCAGACCATGTACAAGTACTTCAGTTTGGGTACTTGCTGATACTGAGTAGTTAATGAGTTGGTACTTAACCATCACACCACAACTTTAGATATGCATTTATTTTATTAAAAACACAGCAAACAGTCTGCTGTCCTAACATCGCCTGTATACATCTTAAAATATCTCTAAACTGGACTTTTTTTTTTGTCCTCAGCTACACGACTTCAAGCATAAAGCTGGTACTGGTCCTAAGTATCGGCATGTTTTTCGGCATGACGGTATGAGTACTTGAGGCCGATATTGGGCCTGATACAGATACTATTATAGGTATTCATACGCCACTAGTTCTAAACTTCAATTAAAAACTGACTGGGATTCGATTCAAGCTGCATTTTAGTTGCTGGAAGGTCGGTAGCAAGTCCAAGGATTTATTTCTAGCATGCAATGATTGAAAAAGTTTCAATCAGTTCTAATCAAACAAATAATCTCTTAATAATTTGACATATAAAAATAAATACTTCATTTTCCTTCCACTGGAGCTTTATCTGGATTATTTAAGTGTATTCAGGTCTGCTTTGAGGTTTAAGAAGTGTCTCGATAATTCACCCTAAACCAGAGATCCTCAGTTAAAACAGCAGATGAAGGGACTCCACGTCCAGACCAGGTCAACAGGTTTGCAACAGAACATTTGATCTGAGTGAAGCAGCTTAAAGAGGCTTATCATGGCTCGTCTGAGCGTACGGACCCAGTTCCTCATGTTTAACACAGCGTATTTTTCTAACCTGCAGTCTGAAAATAAGGGAGCACGTCTCACCATTGATTCCCGAGTCAGACCGATCTCAAGCCTTCTGGTATTCTTCAGACTCAAGGTTTCTGTCTCTGCAATGCTTCAGAGATTTCCTACGTATCTTAAAAGAAAAAAAAAAAAAAACAGACAAATCTCCAGAAATTCTCCTTTAAAGGTGGATTTAGTTCATGCAGAACCAACGGAGAGTTCTACCAAAAAAAAAACCCGATGCTTTACCTTTTCTGTCTCGCTCTCTTCGAGGTGATGTTAGCCTCTTCGTTGGGCTTGAGTGAGGTCACGTAATCCACAGATAAGACAATTAGAGGAAGGGAGAGACGCCAGACGACTGCGGCCAGAACTGAAACCAGGCTGGTTTGATTGATGGGGCCTTAAATGGATCTCTGACTATTTGCATAAATCGGCCCTAATGTGTTGTTTCTCTCAATTACTAAAAGTTGTTTGTGACACGTGAAAATCCCTAATCGCTTAAAATAAACATTTTTCACCTGAGGACGTGTGTTTTTGGTGCAATGAATTCTGGGGTGATGATATACATCGGTTGTAGTGGAGACTAAAACACAAGTAGTTGTGGCTAAAATGGGCAATAGTTATACAGTAGTCCCTCGTTTATCACGGGGGTTACATTCTGGACCACCCTCCCCCACCTCACAATAAGTGAAAACCCATGAAGTAGGGATGTTGAATTTTAGTATTTATATGTATTTTAAGTTTTAGAAACCCTTCCCACACTCTTGCAATGTTCTAAACTCTTAACCCTATATCATTTTAACAACATACATATATGTACTGTAAAGTAGCTACTAAATTTTACTCACCAGCTCTGCAGAACAGCAGCAGCTCAGTTCCGGTTCGGCAGACCTGCCATGCCGGTTCTGGTCGGCTCTCTGCAGCCCTTGAGCACCAAAACGCTTTGGGAGGGAGCTGGACATTTGGATGGTCAGCACGGGACCACACAGAGGTTGAGATCAGAGTCCAAATCCGGATGGGGTAGCTCCAGTGGGCTCTAGAGAGAGCACCACGCCTCCGGGTAGCGCATCCCCGCTCTGAAGGCCTTGTGGGCCGGCAAAGTGGCACTCAGATTGACCAATGAGTCTGGAGGTCCAGTTCCCAGTTGGTTCCATGTGGCTCTCTGCATCCACTGAGCGCCGAAGTCACTATGAATAAGGACCGAACTTTTTCATATCCAATCAAAATTTTCCCGCCATTTCAGCAGAAGGCAACAGGGCTTCTGGGTGAGGCACTGTTGGCTTCTGGGAAATTTAGTCGTTTTGAGTGGCGATGCAGTGTAGGATTATTGAGAGAAAACTACAAAGTGGCAGCGCCTGTCCGAAGTATTTTTTTAGTTAACTTTTTACTGCATCCCATACATTCATGCAATATTAAAGTTGACACTCGTGTCACCTGCAAAATTACTTTGGAAAAAACTGCAAAAGAGCGAGTCTGCAAAAGTTGAACTGCGAAGTAGTGAGGGACTATTGGACAAAATCGGGGACTTTCCCACCTAGCCCTGGAGCTAACGTCATATACATTAACCCTGGCGCTAACGTCAAACATTAGCTCTGGAGCTAACGTCATATACATTAGCTCTGACGCTAACGTTATATACATTAGCTCTGACGCTAACGTCATATACATTAGCCCTGGCGCTAACGTCATATGCATTAGCCATGGCGCTAATATCAAACATTAGCTCTGGAGCTAACGTCATATACATTAGCTCTGACGCTAACGTCATATACATTAGGCGCTAAAGTCATATACATTAGCCCTGGTGCTAATGTCATATACATTAGCCCTGG